GTATGAAGAATTTTCAACGCGAAAAGTTTTTTTTTCCAAAATCCATGAAACCAGACACTCTCACACGTCTAGACTTTGTTTATCTATTATCCTCTGTCTACTTTCTCCCTCACTCACTTGCTCTCTTTCTCTCTCTCTCCGATTATTTAGCTATTGGTTGTATGCGTAGGCATTTCGGTGAAAAAGGATACATGGTGCGCTGCAAGTGTTTAATGCTTTGTTTGGCTAATGTCTGGATTAAAATAACAACAACAAAAGATCATATCGGACAGACAGACCGACCGACCAACCACTATAAGTTTCATGTAAGCAAAGGATCAGCGATCCTGTGTTATTGTTGTTGCCCATTGTGTGCAAGCATACTTTTTTCGCTTTGTGTATATGTATTTATTTTTGTTGTTGTTGCATATCCTTTCTTGTCAGATTTATTTTTGCTATCTACCCTGCTACCTACTATTCATCACTTTTACTTTACTGGTTGATGGGCTGGCTGGCTTGCATATTTATTTTCTAATATTTTGGGAAATTTTCGATTTGTTTTTCTTTGGAAATTTGAAAAGCAACAGCCTCTGTTGGAAACTTTGAAATTCCCATGAAAAAACAAACGATCGCAATTAAGGAGGGTGGTCTGGAAACCTCAGGAAAAATTTTTTTATAGAAAAAATAATTGGCGGAACCTCAGTTCCCAATTTTTTTACTATAGGAAAAATTCGGAGGACCACAAATCCATGTTTTTCCGTGTATATAAAAAAAATCGGGAAAAAATCCATTTTTTTATAGAAAAAATTTAAAGGACCCCAGGTCCGAAATTTTTTCCCACAGAGAAAATTCGGCGGCACCTCAGTTACAATTTGTTTTAAAGAAAAAAATCGATCGGAGTCCATGTTTTTTATAGAAAAAAAAAATCGGAGAACCTCATGTTACACTTTTTTCTACAGTGAAAATTTCAAGGGACCTCAGGACTGATTTCATTATTTTTCCCCTACCATTCTCATACCCATCCTCGAATAGAAAATCAATATTTGTTTTCAACCACTCACATTTTGTGATCTAAGTGATCGATAAATTCTGCTGGTTAAAAATACCCGCTCAGATTTTCCCAAACACACTTCGATTGAAGGTCAGCTAAACAAAGGATGAAGTTTTCAAGGTCAGAATTTCGATGCATAACAACAAACACATGGGAAACACACACAAAAATAAATCTGTATGGTGTGACCTCTAGGAAAAGTGTATTGGTGAGGGTGTGTGTGTGTGGGCAGCATCCTACTGAGTTCGCTGTGAGTTCTACGTGATTTCATGTGCTGTGAGCGATCAACCGATCGATCTATCTTTCGTTCGACCAATTGTCCATTTGGCAAATGAAATTGTTACGCTTCATTTGTGGCATGTCCAATTTTTGTGGTCAGTCATGATGGGGAAGGGGGTGTTTCTCAGCTATTTACTTTGTAAATTAAGGAGGGTGGGTATTGTCTCTTTTCGAAATTTCGTTTTCTTTTCTTGAGAGGAATTATTGATTTGTAATTGAGGTAATTGAATAGTGAAAGGGAGTAACAGACAATAATCTTTAGAAACTGAGAAAAAAATAATTCCGTCTTGTTATCTATACGAAAAACTGATTCCGATTTTTTTCTATACCAAAAAAAAAATATTCCTATTTTTTATTCTATACGAAAAACAATTATGCCGATTTTTTTCTAAACGGGAAAAAATTATTCCGAATTTTTTTCTATGCGGAAAAAAAATTATTCCGAATTTTTTTCTATGCGGAAAAAAATTATTCCGAATTTTTGTTCTATACGGAAAAAAATTATTTCAAATTTTTGTTCTATACGAAAAAAAAAATTTTTCCGAATTTTTGTTCTATACGAAAAAAAAAAATTATTCTGAATTTTTGTTCTATACGAAAAAAAAATTATTCCGAATTTTTTGTTCTATACAAAAAAAATTATTCTGAATTTTTGTTCTATACGAAAAAAAAAAATTATTCCGAATTTTTTGTTCTATACGAAAAAAAAAATTATTCCGAATTTTTGTTCTATACGAAAAAAAAAATATTCCGAATTTTTTGTTCTATACAAAAAAAATTATTCTGAATTTTTCTTCTATACGGAAAAAAATTCCGATTTTTTTCTTACGGAAAAAAAATTATTCCGAATTTTTTTCTATACGGAAAAAAATTGTTCCGAATTTTTTTCTATAAGGAAGAAAATTATTCCGAATTTTTTTCTATACGGAAATAAATTATTCCGAATTTTTTTCTATACGGAAAAAAATTATTCCGAATTTTTTTCTATACGGAAAAAAATTATTCCGAATTTTTTTCTATACGGAAAAAAATTATTCCGAATTTTTTTCTATACGGAAAAAAATTATTCCGAATTTTTTTCTATACGGAAAAAAATTATTCCGAATTTTTTTCTATACGGAAAAAAATTATTCCGAATTTTTTTCTATACGGAATAATTTTTTTTCTATACGGAAAAATTATTCCGATTTTTTTTCTATACGGAAAAAAATTATTACGATTTTTTTTCTATACGGAAAAAAAATTATTCCGAATTTTTTTCTATACGGAAAAAAATTATTCCGAATTTTTTTTCGTTACGGAAAAAAATTATTCCGATTTTTTTTCTATACGGAAAAGAATTCATGAGGTATTTTTTTCTATACGGAAAAAAAAATCACTGAGGTGAGATTTTTTTCTATACGGAAAAAAATTATTCCGAATTTTTTCTATACAAAAAAATTATTCCGAATTTTTTTCTAAGTACGAAAAAAATTATTCCGAATTTTTTTCTATGTACGAAAAAATTGATTCGGAATTTTTTTTTATACAAAAAAAATTATTCGGAATAATTTTGAAAATATTTGTTTCGTATAAAATTTATTTTTTTCCCAAAATTTTTCATTTTCAAGGATGACTGTACATAATCCTTACGGGAAAAAGCCTTCATTCTCTTAATTTCTCTTTCACTTCTAAAATTCTCCCAGACATTGTCTCGGTGATAAAGGAAAGTCATGCGAATAGTCTCAACAAAAAACGAATGGACATATGGTGAAGGAAGACATGGAATTTTCCTTAAAGGAAAAACTTATTTTTAGAATTAAAAAAAAAACAACAACAAAAGCACTCAAAATGAGTGATGAGTTGATGTGTGAGAGAGTCTATTTGATGTCTATTTTAAAATGCCAAAAACCTTTAGCATTTGAGAAAGAGAGGGTGGTGGTAGGTAGTAAGAAAGTGAGAGAACTTGTTGTTCTCTTGTTATCGAAAACTAGTATTTCTAAATTTGCTGTACTTACTTGAAAAGGATGATACTATTATTTTTTGCTGACAAGGATAACACGAACAATGGGTCCATTAAGTTCTCATCTCCTCTCTAACGAAAAAAACCTGTTGAGGATCACATCATCACTAGATAAAATGCGAAAAATGTATCCTTTGAAACAAGAAAAAACATTTTCGACAAATCATGTCGAAGAGTTAGGTTTTTGTTGTTTTGGTCAGGGCTTGTTAAAAATGGATAATTTCCATTATCCTGTCAAAAAGAAAAACATAAGGCAAAAGGATGTTATTCATAATTCAACAACAAAAAATGAATTTACACTTACCTTCAACATAAAAAGGGATAACAGGACAAAGAAGCTGCTGAAGAGGACGGGTTATGGGTCAACTCTACAAAAATTCATAAAAAAGGATTCATTTAATTAAACAACAATTCGTAATTTTTTTCGGGGAGGATAATGGATACTTACTGTAAGGGAAAATTCGAATTATTTTTCTATGCGAAAAAAATGTTTCGAAATTTTTTTCAATGACGAAAAAAGTGTTTCCGAATTTTTTTCTATTCGAAAAAAATGTTTTTCGAATTTTGTATCAATGCGAAAAAAATGTGTCCGAATTTTTTTCTATGCGAAAAAAAGTTTCCGAATTTTTTTATATGCGAAAAAAATGTTTCCATTTTGTTTTCTATTTTTCTATGCGAAAAAAATGTTTCCGAATTTATTTTCTTTCCAAAAAAAGGGTTTCCGAATTTATTTTCTATGCGAAAAAAAAATGTTTTCGAATTTTTTTCTATACGGAAAAAAAAGATTCCTAATTTATTTTCTATGCGAAAAAAAGGTTTCCGAATTTATTTTCTATGCGAAAAAAAATGTTTCTGAATTTTTTTATGGGAAAAAATGTTTCCGAATTTATTTTCTATGCGAAAAAAATGTTTCCGAATTTATTTTCTATGCGAAAAAAATGTTTCCGAATTTATTTTCTATGCGAAAAAAATGTTTCCGAATTTTTTTCTATACGAAAAAAAAGATTCTGATTTTTTTTCTATGCGAAAAAATGATTCCAAATTTTTTCTATGCGAAGAAATGTTTCCGATTTTTTTTCTATGCGAAAAAAATATTATCGATTTTTTCTATATGGGAAAAAATTCCATTTGTTCTATGCGAAAAAATTCCATTTGTTCTATGCGAGAAAATCCGATTTTTTCTATGAGAAAAAAATTCTGATTTTTTCCTATCCAAAAAAAAAAAAAAAAAAAAAAAAAATTGGATTTTTTTCTATGCGAAAAAAAAATGTTACAGAATTTGTTTATATTAATTATATTTTATAGGTTATGTTTTTTTATTATTATTTTCAATTCGATTTCTTCAACTTAATTTTCGTAAAAAAACGAAATTTTTACAATTAGTAACAAAAATAAAAAAAATGTTTAAATTAATTTGTAATTATTTTACAGTGTAACACATATACATACATACTTATTTTCAAATATATGTATAATATAATTAATTGGCAGGAATGTGGCTCTTCTAAGACTAAGGAATGCTGGCTGGCTGATGACTACAAACTAAGGAATGCATTTTTGTTTATATTAAAGATCCAAGTACTCGTATTGGTATCTCTTCGGAAGACATGTGGTATCTTTTCGGATGATGATGAATGATCACGATTATGAGTATTATTTTCCGCTGAACAAAGTTGCTCCCGGACGACTTTACATTGTCAAATCCTTATAGTGGACACTAATCATATGTCGTCGCAGGCAATCGTTCCGCTTATAGCTCATCGAGCATAGCTTACATTTGAATTGTCGTTCCACCCCAATACATTCCTTGGTGATGTGACGTTTCAGATGGCCACGTCGTAAATAGCTGCGACCACATGTCATGCAGGGATAACGGCCATCAAAGGGCGGCAGATAGGCCAGCATTTGATCAAAATCTGAAGAACAAAAAAATAAAAATAGAGAACTTCAAGGTTGGATCGAATTTGTTTTTTTTTAATAGATTTTTTTTATGTGAGTGGGTGGGGTTGTGCATTAGGTTGGGGTTAATATAAAAAGCTGTCCCATTAAACTACCACTACTATATGTATATATATACTGACCCAAAACCCAGCAAAGCATACTTACTTCGATTTTTACCACTAACCCAACAAATTTATTTTTCCAATATATATTTCCAAATCGTTTTCTGTACGAAAAAAATCGAATTTTTACAAAAAATATTTCTGTTGTTTTCCAAAAAGATTATTTCGATTTTTTTTTGTATACGAGAAAAATTAATTTAATAAAAAATAAATATTCCGAATTTTTTTCTATACAAAAACAAATTATCCCGAATTTTTGTTCTATACGAAAAAAATTATTTCCGATTTTTTTCTATTCGAAAAAAAATATTCCGAATTTGTTTCTATACGAAAAAAATGATTCCGAATTTTTGTTCTATACGGAAAAAGAATTATTTCGAATTTTTTTCTATTCGGAAAAAAATTATTCCGAATTTTTGTTCTATACGAAAAAAATTATTCCGAATTTCTGTTCTATACGAAAAAAATTATTCCGAATTTTTGTTCTATACGAAAAAAAAATTATTCCGAATTTTTGTTCTATACGAAAAAAAATTATTCCGAATTTTATTTTCAATACGAAAAAAATTAGTCTGAATTTTTTTTTTATACGAAAAAAATTATTCCAAATTATTGTTCTATACGAAAAAAATTATTCCGAATTTTTTTCTATACGAAAAAAAAATTATTCCGAATTTTTGTTCTATACGAAAAAAAATTATTCCGAATTTTTCTTCTATACGAAAAAATGATTCCGAATTTTTTTCTATACGAAAAAAATGATTCCAATTTTTTTTCTATACGAAAAAAACGATTCCATTTTTTTACGAAAAAAATGATTCCGAATTTTTTTTCTATACGAAAAAAATGATTGCAAATTTTTTTCTATACGAAAAAAAATAATTCCGATTTTTTCTATACGAAAGAAAATGATTCCGAATTTCTATACGAAAAAAAATGATTCTGAATTTTTGTTCTATTCGAAAAAAAATTATTCCGAATTTTTGTTCTATTCGAAAAAAATTATTCCGAATTTTTGTTCTATTCGAAAAAAATTATTCCGAATTTTTGTTCTATTCGAAAAAAAATTATTCCGAATTTTTGTTCTATACAAAAAAAATGATTCCAAATTTTTGTTCTATTCGAAAAAAATTATTCCGAATTTTTGTTCTATTCGAAAAAAATTATTCCGATTTTTTTTTCTATACGAAAAAAATTATTCCGAATTTTTGTTCTATTCGAAAAAAATTATTCCAAATTTTTGTTCCATACAAAAAAAATGATTTCGAATTTTTGTTCTATTCGAAAAAAATTATTCCGAATTTTTGTTCTATTCGAAAAAAAAATATTCCGAATTTTTGTTCTATACAAAAAAATTATTCCGAATTTTTGTTCTATATCAAAAAAAAAAAAAATGATTCCGAATTTTTGTTCTATTCGAAAAAAATTATTTCGAATTTTTGTTCTATTCGAAAAAAATTATTCCGAATTTTTTTCTATACGAAATAAGTTATTCCGAATTTTTGTTCTATATAAATGATTTTCTATACGAAAAAAATGATTCAGAATTTTTGTTCTATTCGAAAAAAATATTCCGTATTTTGTTCTATACGAAAAAAAATATTCCGAATTTTTTTCTATACGAAAAAAAAAACCATTCCGAATTTTTTTTCTATACGAAAAAGGAAAAACGATTCCGAATTTTTTTCTATACGAAAAAAAATATTCCGAATTTTTTTCTTTAGAAAAAAAATATGTTTTTTCCAGGACTATTAAAGGACTACGATTTTTTCTAAAATATTTTTTCCAAGGACTAAGATTTTTTTAAAATAATTTCCAAGGGCTAAGATTTTTTTATATTTTTTTCCAAGGACTAAAAAAGGACTAAGATTTTTTTTAAATATTTTTTTTAAGGACTAAGTCTAGGAATTCTTTAAAGAATATTTTTCCAAGGATAAAGGACCTAGTACTTAATACCAATAGTCAATGACATATAATAGTATTACATACATTAAATCTATTTACATAATTTGTATAAATACGACACACATGAAATAAGGACACACACACAACATATCGGACATATTCATTTGAAAACATTGAATTTATTACACACGAAAAAAGGACACACATGACTACAAAGTTTTTTTTTTAAACAATTTTACTAAGAACTAATTTTTTTGTACTTTAAGTGGCAAGATTGGGCCTGGAGAGCACTACTCCATGATGGCAAATACCTTATAGCTCAAAAATCGAGAAAATGTTGATTGTCAAAATCGGAATTGGATGAGGCACGAATTCGTTGATGCGGCTGATGAGTGGGATGTTGTGATAATTGTTTGCTGGCGCTGATGCTGTTGTGGTTGCTAAATTGTGGTGCTGCCTCAAAATCGTTCACATACAAAGGTCTCTCCATGCTCGACGATGTTACATTTGCTATGGATAATCCTGGTCCTGACGATAATGACGATCGATTGTGTTCATAATATCCTGCCGCCGTACTTATATCATCCATATAATCATCAATTGTTCGGCTGCGATATGGCCCAGCCCTCACAACGTTGTGAGCCTTTAGCAGATGTCTTCGTAAATCTTCGCTGCGTTTATAGCGTGATGGACAGCGGTCGCAAACGTATTTCGGTGCGATGCCAATGCATTCGTTGTTAATGTGCCGCTTCAGGTGACCCTTGCGTAAATAACTTTTACCGCAAACATGACAGGGGTAGCGTTGTTCCGTTCCGGAGCGTTCATCATGTCGGGAATTGGGATCTACAGGTGGTGGGTTGGGTTGGCGGGGTGGGGAGATAAAAAAGGAAAAAGAGAGGGGGGTTAATTTTTTCGAACTGAAAAATATTTTTTTTAAATATTGAAAACCATATTTTATTATTATTATTATTAAAAAATATGAGAACACATAAAAAAATTGAAAATTATATACAAATTAAATAAAAATATTTTATATAATAAATTATAAAATAAGAAAAAATATTTAAAACTAATATTTATACACACATTTTCGAATACTGATATCTAGATTTTGGCCAAGGCCAATGACAGACATATACAAATTTACAACAATACTTTAATACTTCAATTTTTTTTTGAAAACACTCACGAAGTACTTACCTTCATTCAAAAAATATAAGTTTCCTATTTGAGTGAATATTTTCAATGAGTCGTCGTCAGAGGGGAATTATTCCAGGGTGTGCAAAAATTCCCTCGCGAATGAATCATTTTACGAATGAATTTATGGCGATAAATTCTTTACCAAACGAGCATTCGCCAAAGAATGTTCGCACACACACACACACATAACAAACGAGTGAGAGCACACAACAACGATCGTTCATTTCGTTTGGTGGTTGAAATTCTTTCTGACATTTTCTCACGAATGAAAACAAACATTCCGGAATTCCCGCGAATGCTCAAAACAGCAACAACAATAACAACAAACGTTCGTGAACGTTCAATAGTTGTTGGACATGGGTTTTGTTATGTGTTTCGTGCAATGCGAACATTCGGGAGAGATTGCAAATGCTTGTTCATTCATTGTAACTTTGTAACATTCGCGATAAATTGAAAACATTTGAATTCTTGCGCCTGAGCATTCGTAAAAAAGGCGTATTTTAATCATTCTTCGCACCCTGGATTATTCTAATGAATATTTTTCATCGATTAAAAAAAAAATAAAAATACATTTTCCAATGACTTCGAAGACTAAGGAAATAAAGGCCAATTGGCCGGTATAGAGACACAGGTCTTTATAAAGGCCAATTGGCCGCTATAGAGACCACAGGTCTTTATAAAGGCCAATTGGTCGGTATAAAGTTTGCAGGTCTTTATAAAGACCAATTGGCCGGTATAAAGACTACAGGTTTTTATAAAGGTCAATTGGCCGGTATAGAGACCACTGGCGTTTATAGGGACCACAGGCCTGTATAGAAACCACAGGTCTTTATAACCACGAATTGACCGGTATAGAGACCACAGGTCTTTATAAAGGCCAATCCGCCGGTATAGAAACCACAGGTCTTTATAAAGACCAAGTGGCCGGTGTAGAGACCACAGGTCTTTATAAAGGCCAATTGACCAGTATAGAGACCACAGGTCTTTATAAAGGCCAAATGGCCGGTATAGAGACCACAGGTCTTTAAAAAAGCCAAATGGTCGGTATAGGGACCACAGGTCTTTATAAAGGCCAATTGGCCGGTATACAGACCGCGGTCTTTATAAAGACCAATTGGCCGGTATAGACAGAAAAGGTCTTTATAAAGGCCAAATGGTCGGTATAGAGACCACAGGTCCTTATAAAGGCCAAATGGACATTATAGAGACCAAAGGTCTTTATAAAGGCCAAATGGCCGGTATGGAGACCACAGGACAATTGGCTGGTCTTTATAAAGGCCAAGGAGTTTATAAAGGCCAATTGGCCGGTATAGAGACCAAAGGTCTTTATAAAGGCCAATTGGCCGGTATAGAGACCAAAGGTCTTTATAAAGGCCAATTGGCCGGTATAGAGACCAAAGGTCTTTATAAAGGCCAATTGGCAGGAATAGAGACCAAAGGTCTTTATAGAGGCCAATTGGCCGGAATAGAGACCAAAGGTCTTTATAAAGGCCAATTGGCCGGTATAGAGACCTCAGGTCTTTATAAAGGCCAATTGGCCGGTATAGAGACCTCAGGTCTTTATAAAGGCCAATTGGCCGGTATAGAGACCACAGGTCTTTATAAAGGCCAATTGGCCGGTATTGAGACCACAGGTCTTTATAAAGGCCAATTGGCCGGTATTGAGACCACAGGTCTTTATAAAGGCCAATTGGCCGGTATAGAGACCATAGGTCTTTATAAAGGCCAATTGGCCAGTATAGAGACCACAGGCCTTTAAAAAGGTCAATTGGCCGGTATAGAGACCACAGGTCTTTATTAAGGCCAATTGGCCGGTATTGAGACCACAGGTCTTTATTAAGGCCAATTGGCCGGTATTGAGACCACAGGTCTTTATAAAGGCCAATTGGCCGGTATAGAGACCATAGGTCTTTATAAAGGTCAATTGGCCGGTATAGAGACCATTGGGCTTTATAAAGGCCAATTGACATTTTTCCAAAGTTCTGAGAATTTTTTACAAAAATTTCTTGTTCAATAATAAAATCAATTTTTTTATGTTTTTAATTTTTTTGTTCACGTATTTATTTTTAAGAAAAAATTAAGTTTTATTTTTATAATTTGTATTATAAGAAATTATTATGTTTATATTTTTTATATTACTTAAATAATATTATTTTTTGTATTTATTAAATTGTTCCCGTTTTTCTTTTATCATTTTGGGGAAGTAATAATAATTATTATTTGTTTGCTGATATAATTTTTTGTTAAGGCTACGAAGCAAATTTGATTTTCCGATTTGCAAAAAAAATTGAATTTTTTTGTTTAAATTAAAACCGAATGTTCCTTGCGCATGTGCTCGTTGAGGAAGGCCTGCGAACGATAGACCCGCGAACATAACGGACAACGATTCGTTTCGAATTGCGGCAGACGCTTGGAACTTTGACGCGGTAAACGTTTACCTGTTCGTCCGGCATATACTAACGTCTCGTTGTGGGCCAACAGATCCTTGGGCAGCTGTGGCAGCAAACGTTCAATGCTGTGCGTCGAGGATATGGAGGCTAGCTGTTGGAGGGCAATTAAGGCGGTGTTGTTGACAGCAGAAGTAGCAGCAGTACTGCCGCCGCTGGTTGTTGGTGTTATTGATTGTTGTTGCTGGGGTTCCATGCTAGCCCGAAAATTCATTGCTTCACTACTTTGACTATTTTCCGTGGAGAAGTTGGGAAATAGATCGGTATCCATTGTGGAACTATCACTTTCCACCTTAATCTGGCTATCATCGATAATGTTGTTGTCCTGCTCCTCCTCCTCTTGTTTTGTCACTGCCTGTAGCAGGGTAATGGAAAGGCTAGCAGAGGGCGTAGATGTTGTAGCCATACCAACACCACCACCACCTCCTCCAATACTTGAGGTTTTCTTACGTATATTATATTTAACTGGAAAGAGAAGGAAATAGAGGAAAATTAAAGGTTAATAAAAAATTTATTTTTAATTAAACTTAAAACTAATTTCAAATAAATGACTTAAATGGTTATATAATTTTTAATAAGAAAAAATATATATTTTTTGGATTTAATTATCACTTTATTAAAATAATAAAAAAATTAACAAAAAATAATATTCAATAATTAAAAAAAAAAAAATAAAAACAAAAATATAATTCAAATATAGATTTTTAATAAAAAATAAAAATAGTAATATTCAAAGTAATTTGAAATGAAGCCAAATAAATTTTGTAGTATAGAGACAACAGGGTTTTGTAAAGGCCAATTGGCCGATATAGAGACCACAGGGGGTTTATAAAGACCAATTGGCCGGTATATATACCACTGGGCTTTATAAAAAACAATTGATCGATATAGAGGCCACAGGTCTTTATAATGACCTATTGGCCGGTATAGAGACCAAAGGTCTTTATAAAGGCCAATTGGCCGGGATAGAGACCAATGCTCTTTATAAAGCGGTATAGAGACCACAGGTCTTTATAAGGCCAATTGACCGGTATAGAGGCTACAGGTCTTTATAAAAGCCAATTGGCCGGCATAGACACCACAAGTATTTAAAAACTCAAATTGGCCGGTATAAAGGCCAATTGGCCGGTATAGAGACCACAGGTCTTTATAAAGGCCAATTGGCCGGTATAGAGACCACAGGTCTTTATAAAGGCCAATTGGCCGGTATAGAGACCACAGGTCTTTATAAAGGCCAATTGGCCGGGATAGAGACCAATGCTCTTTATAAAGCGGTATAGAGACCACAGGTCTTTATAAGGCCAATTGACCGGTATAGAGGCTACAAGTCATTATAAAAGCCAATTGGCCGGCATAGACACCACAAGTATTTAAAAACTCAAATTGGCCAGTATAAAGACCAATTGGCCGGTATAGAGACCACAGGTCTTTATAAAGGCCAATTGGCCGGTATAGAGACCAAAGGTCTTTATATAGGCCAATCGGCTGGTATAGAGACCAAAGGTCTTTATAAAGTCCAATTGGCCGGGATAGAGACCACAGGTCTTTATAAAGGCCAATTGGCCGGTATAGAGACCAAAGGTCTTTATAAAGGCCAATTGGCTGGTATAGAGACCAAAGGTCTTTATAAAGTCCAATTGGCCGGGATAGAGACCAATGCTCTTTATAAAGCGGTATAGAGACTACAGGTCTTTATAAAAGCCAATTGGCCGGCATAGACACCACAGGTCTTTATAAAGGCCAATTGGCCGGTATAGATACCAAAGGTCTTTATAAAGGCCAATTGGTCGATATAGAGACCACAGGTATAGTGACCACAGGTATTTAAAAACTCAAATTGGTCGGTATAAAGTCCAATTAGCCGGTATAGAGACCACAGGTCTTTATAAAGGCCAATTGGCTGGTATAGACATCAAAGGTTTTATAAAGGCAAATTGGTCGGGATAGGGACCAAAGGTCTTTATAAAGCGGTATAGAGACCACAGGTCTTTATAAAGGCCAATTGGCCGGCATAGAGACTACAGGTCTTTATAAAGGCCAATTGGCCGGTATAGAGACCACCGGTATAGAGACCACTGTTCTTTATAAAGGCCAATTGGCCGGTATAGAGACCAAAGGTCTTTATAAAGGACAATTTGCCGGTATATAGACCAAATGTCTCATTATAAAGGCCAATTGGTCGGTATTGATACCACAGGTCTTTATAATGGCCAATTGGCCGGTATAGGGACCAAAGGTCTTTATAAATGTGAATGGTAGGGTATAGGGACCAAAGGTCTTTATAATGGCCAATTGGCCGGTATAGGGCCCAAAGGTCTTTATAGAGGCCAATTGGCCGGTATAGAGACCACAGGTCTTTATAATGGACAATTGGTTTTTATAAAGTCTTTATAATGGCCACAGCCACAGGCCAATTGGCCGGTATTGAAAGCACAGGTTTTTATAAAGACCAATTGGCCGGTATGGAGACCACAGGTCTTTATAAAGGCCAATTAGCCGGTGTAGAGACCAAAGGTCTTTATAAAGCGGTGCAGAGACCACAGGTCTTTATAAAAGCCAATTGAGGCCTAAAGTATTCAAATTCTTATTTTAATTTTTTTTAATTCGATTTAAAAAATATATATACACACACTGTGGTTATTATTAATTAATTAATTTTAAATACGATTTTCGAATACAAAAAAGAAATTTGAAATCTTATTTTTGAAACAAAAAGGAACAATTATATATAGTAAATACAATTCAAATAAAAATAATGTCATACATATTAATACGTCAAGTCTATATATTTGAAAATTCATTTAAAAAATTAGTCAGAATTTTTATTTATGTATAAATTTTTTTTTCAAAATTATGTTGCCAGCAACATATAAATACAGTTTTGAAAATAATAGTAGTGAACAGATATAAAAAAAAACAAAAGCAAAATTCAGATTCTATTGCTAAAACAAGTTACTTAAATAATAATTTCGATATTAAAAGAAGAAGAAAAAAAAATAATTTTTAAAATTAAATTCAAATACATGTTATTCTATGCATCTAAAAATTCACAATCCGCCGATAGATTACTAATATCTTCCAATTCATCAATAAATTCATCGATAATAAAAATATCTGACAAGGGTTCTTCAATTGGAGGAGATGGCAAAGCCAGTGGATCTGTATTGAGGGGCATTGTTGATGGCGGTAATATTGAATCCACTGTTAAAATATGACTTGCCAATATTTGATATTGTTCATTAGTATTCGAAATATTCGAATTATTTGGCAATTCAATTAATGAATTGCTATTGGGCATATTGGTATTATTTGGTATTGGGTTCAATGGATTTATTATTGCATTATTATTGGGAGTAATGAAATCGTTTTGAATAGGTATTATTGAATTATTCGGTATTTGTATTTCTTGATTATTATTCGAATTATTTGGATTTTGAATTGCGGCAAAATTATTTGCAACATTGGAATTATTTGATATCTCCAAATGATTATTATTATTAATTTCCTTTGAAAGCTGGTTTTGATTGTTGTTGTTGTCGTTGTTTTCATTTTCCACATTGATTTCAACCATGGGTATCCACATCGAATTCGGATTATTGCTATCGCCATTAGTATCTCCTCCAGATGTTGTTGTTCTCGTTCTTGCCGATTCACCACGATTTGATGGATACATTCGATTATAGATATTTTGTAATAAATTCATATTGGATTTTTCATTAGTCGCCGATACGGTAACCTCTGAACAGCATTGCAGTGCGGGAGCAGCATGCACTTTTTCATGACGACGCAATCCACTTTTTGAGCAAAAAAATCTTTGACAAATTTTACATTGAAAGGAATTATTTTGTGGTTTTCTCCTCGGTCTGCGTCCGGGTCGTACGAAACGTAGAGAATTTGCTTTGGGTGTATTATTTGTTGTTGTTGTAAGTGGGGTTATTGTAATTCTTGTTGCATCTGTGCATGAAAAATGAAAATGAAGAAATAAAAATGGGTGAGGTGAAGGGGTTGAAATGAAAAAAATGGATGAAGGAATGAAATGTAAATGCATAATTTGATCTCGTGTTAGTGTGACGGGACAAACACAATTGACTTATATTAGAAAAAAAGATCCTACTGAAATGTTATTGAAGACAAGGAGAGACTAAGGGGGTGAGGTTCTAGATAGGTTAATAAATAAGATAAACATTTCACAATGGAAAACAATATTAGGGGAAAAAGTTTGTAGTTCCGAACAAATTAGACATCCTCCTTAAAGTAGGCTTCGAAAATATTAAAAAAATAGTCCTCGAAAAAACTTCACACTTTGAAAACATTTTTTTAAAAAAATCTCTCTTAAAGTAGGCTTTGGAAAACATTGGCCGGTATAGAGATCAATTGACCGGTATAGACACCACAGGTCTTTATAAAGACCAATTGGTCGGTATAGAGACCACAGGTCTTTATAAAGGCCATTCGGCCGGTATAGACACCACAAGTCTTTATAAAGGCCAATTGGCCGGTATAGAGTCCTAAGGTCTTTATAAAGGCAAATTGGCCGGTATAGAGACCAACGGTCTTTATGAAGGCAAATTGGCCGGAATAGAGACCACAGGTCTTTATAAAGGTCAATTGACCGGTATAGACACATCAGGACTTTATAAAGGCCAATTGGCCAGTATAGAGACCAAAGGTCTTTATAAAGGCCAATTGGCTGGTATAGAGACCACCGGTCTTTAGAAAGACCAACTGGCTGGTGTAGTTCTTGGAAAAATATTTTAAAAAATCCACGCCTTATATAGTCCTTGAAAAAAATATATTCAAATAATCCAAGTTTTTTAGTTCTTAAAAAATGCATGCGTAGTCCGATTTTCACGAAACTCAGAACACACCATCCCAGCATAAATTCATATGCCAAATGCCCTGCAAATCGAAAGATATATAGGGACTTTGGCGCAGCATTTACCTTAAATCGGACGAAAATATATATGGGAGCTATATCTAAATCTGAACCGATTTTCACGAAACTTGGCAGACATCATTCTATGCTCAATTCAGTACGTTATGCCAAATTTCGTGCAAATCGAAAGATATATAGGGACTTTGGTGCACCATTTACATGAAATCGGACGAAAATATAGATGGGAGCTATATCTAAATCTGAACCGATTTTCACGAAACTTAACACACATCATTCTAGACCTAATTCATTACGCTGTGCCAAATTTCATGCAAATCGAAAGATATATAGGGACTTTGGTGCACCATTTACATGAAATCGGACGAAAATATATATGGGAGCTATATCTAAATCTGAACCGATTTTTCCCAATTTCCCAATAGGGTCTATCTAATCTATCTCTATCTCGTTTCCTTTTGCCTGTTACAAACATATGCACAAAGACATAATACCCTGTACCACAGTGTGGTGAAGGGTATAAAAAAACTATAAAAATCCAGTCCTTTGAAAAAATATTTTTAAAAAATCGAAAAACCTTTTTAGTCAAAAATCTATAATAGTCCTAAAAATAGACTTAGAAAAGCTATAAAATTCCAGGTATTTTAAAATAATCAGGCCTAAAAGTAGACCTCAATAAATATCATTAGAAAATACTGGAAAAATATTTTTACAAAATCGAATTTGAAATTTATGTTTGAAAATGTTGTTTATGTCATATTCAAAATATTGGAATTATCATTAAAAACAGTATTTACAATTCATAATCTTTATAGCTGAAATATATTTTATAATAGAATTGTTTTTTTTTTTTAAATCTTAATCATAAGCCAAACATATTTTATTTAGAATATAAATTAATTGATATAATGGGAATAATTATATATTTTTTACATATATATGTATATAGAAAAATAATTATATGTCTATCTATATAATAAATATGTATGGATATTTACATTAGGTATTTCTTTCGTTTTCCAACAATTTTTTGCCACCTCCAATGCCAGCTGCTATGTTCTAGCCGTTTTTTCTGGGAAATAACTATGGGGGACATGTGTCTCAAATCCTTGTTTAGCGAACAAAACCTAGAAAGAGACCCAGATTAGTAAAAAGTTCTATTGCAAAAAACTATCACCATGTCAGAATGAATGAAATCAACAACATTTAAAACAGGGGTCAGTTGCAGAATGTTGAAGGCTATCATGTTTCAAATGTTCCAATTTTTTTATTTATTTTTTTTTTAATTTAATTCTAAATTATTTTTAATTTATTTCTCTTAATATTAAATAGAGCTCTTGTTCGGAAACACACAAATTTGTATTTGAAAAAAGAAATTAATAAAAATTCCAATGCTCAACATTGTGAAATTGACCACTTCAAAGATGATTACACATAAAAAAATTTGTAAACACACAGTATTTTTTTTTTACTTAAATTGTTTTATTTCACATTTATTGTTTTTTTTTCAAATTTTTAAATTTTAATTGTTTGTTGTTAATCTTTTTTTTTCTAATAAATGTCTAAAATATTTAAGATTAGTTGTTTAATGGGTTATGCAGCATTTTTTTAATTTTGTATTTTTTCTGGAGAGACCATTGTTTGTATTCATTTTTAAGCATATCTCTTACACATATATATATACATATATTATGTATATACATATTAAAAGTAATATTTTTATAATTATTTTTATGGAGAGTTTTTTTTATTTTTTTTTGAGATCATATTATATTTCATAGGAAGATCCTTATTAAATATATTTTGTTATACACATTGCACAATATATAGAGTATGAGTATTTTTTATGGTTTTAATTTTTTTTAAATTATTTTTTTGGCATTTTTTTCTTAGTTAAGCATTTGCTTACTTGTATATTAGAATAAAGAAAATAAAAATAGAAATAAATTTATTTTGATTTTATAAAAAATTAAAAACAATTTTTTTAAATGAAATTCGTAAATTTAGAGAAACTGTTCACTCAGCTATTACCCAAATACACAAGGACAACCAGAATAATAAAAAAGATATTTATTAAAAACTACTTTTAAAAGAATATTTTTCTAAAGGACTATCGGATAGTGTACACAAAAAGTGTTTTCGATTTACTATTAGGTTAAGGGTCCTTAGAAAAAATATTTTTTGAGAATGCAAAAATTTTATTAAAATATGGCAGGTCCTTGGAAAAATATTTTTTTATTTAAATGTACACAGGTCCTTGGATAAACATTAAAAAAATCCTATACCGGCCAATTGGCCTTTATAAAAACCTGTGGTCTCTATACCGCTTTATAAAGACATGTGATACCTATACAGGCCAATTGGGCTTTATAAACCCCTGTGGTCTCTATACCGGCCAATTGGACTTTATAAAGACCTTTGGTCCCTATATCGGCCAATTGGACTTTATAAAGACCTTTGGTCCCTATATCGGCCAATTGGCCTTTATAAAGACCTTTGGTCTCTATTGCCTTTCCAATTTGCCTTTAGTCTCTATACCGACCAATTGGCATCTATAAAGACCTGTGGTCCCTATACCGGCCAATTGGCCTCTATAAAGACCTTTGGTCCCTATATCGGCCAATTGGACTTTATAAAGACCTATGGTCTATATACCGGCCAATTGGAGAATTAAAAAAAATTCTAAGGATAATCTAATAAGGCCAATTGGTCTTTATAAAGACCTTTGGTCTCTATACCGGCCAATTGGACTTTATAAAGATTCACAAGCGATAACATTTCGCTGCAAGTAGGGTGGGAAGAATGATTAAAACGCGCTCTTGCTCACGCGAGACATTTCGAATACTTTCAATTTATTTAGCGAATGATAAATTTACAATGAATGAACAAGCATTTGCAATCTCTCGCAAATCTTCGCATTATACGAAAAATTCACGAATGATAAAACTTCGCTGCAAGTGTCGCGAGCATTCCTTGCTGAAGAACATTCTTTGAAAAAACTCAAAAAACAAATGTTCGCGAGCACTGTTAAAAACAATAACAAACAAAAATATCATAAAAAAAGAAAACACACACAACGAATAAATGTGTGTGTGTGTGTTTGTGTGTAGCGGAAAGTGTGTGGAATAACAAAACACATGTCCAACAACTATTGAACGTTCATGAACGTTTTTTGTTATTGTTGTTTCTGTTTTGAGCATTCGTGAGAATTCGGGAATGTTTGTTTTCAGAAAGAATTTCAACCACCAAACGAAACGAAAAATCGGTTGATGTGTGCTCTCACTCGTTTGTTATGTGTGTGTGTGCGAACATTCTTTGGCGAATGGTCGTTTGGTAAAGAATTTATCGCCATAAATTCATTCGTAAAATGAGCACAAAACGAAAAGAATGTATTTTGAATCATCGCCATCGAATTTTTGTGCACCCTGGGAATAACAAAACACAGGTCCAACAACTATTGAGTTCACAAACGTTTGTTGTTGGTGTTCTTGTTGCTGTTTGAGCATTCGCGAGAATTCGGGAATGTTTGTTTTCATTCGCGAGAGAATGCCAAAAAGAATTTCAACCACCAAACGAAACGAACGATCGGTGGTTGTGTGCTCTCACTCATTTGTTATGTGTGTGTGTGTGTGTGTGTGCGAACATTCTTTGGCGAATGCTCGTTTGGTAATGAATTTATCACCAAAAATTCCTTCGCGAGCGAATTTTTGCGCACCCTGCATGTAATAAATGTTATTGAAGACCGCCTGTCAGGAGGAGTGTATAAGTGTATGGGAGTTATATCTAAAAGTGGAACTTTTAGATTGACAAATAATAATGGAATTTCCATAAGAAATTTAAAGTGGCATCAAAAAAAAAAAAATCTGATTTCTTTAAAAAATAAAATAAATAAAATATAAATAATTAAAAGGAAAATAAAAAATAATAATTAACTAAATAAATAATTCCTTGTCTTAAAATCTATAGTAATTTTGGGAAGAGTATACATTTGTGTCTATGTGTTGGTTACTTATTTTTTATATATATATACTTAAGAATAGTATTTTGTGAGATATAATTATACAATAATAATAATTATTATTAGTAATACTTAAAAGTTTGTTTTTTTTTAATACACATATAAATACTTATAAATATTATTTTGTACATGAAAAAAAAAATACATTTATGGACACAACTATATATTGAATGTTAAAGTTTTATGTTATTTTGATTTTCAATTAATACTTTTTTTTAAATCAAATTATGTGCAATTTTAAAATACTACTCAAAATATCAAATTTCAACTAACGCGGTTTAAAAATGTTGACCAAATCCTTGAGAGCTATATATAAAAGGGGCAAGATTTTGAAAATTGGTAAGGAGATTTACTGCTTTATGAGAACCCTAAATATGAAATTACAACCAATTCCATTTGAAAACTTGTCCCAAATCTTCAAAAAACCGAAAATCGTAGGGTTGTCTTATACGGAGGCCTAAACCTAAACAGGGATCAATATTTACAATTTTTGGTATAAAGGTTTGCTATCTTATGAGAACCCTAAATATGAAATTATTCCGAAACTGTTGCAAAAAATTATTGAAAACTGTTGCGAAATTGTAAAAATACCGAAAATCGGTAGGTTTCAGCATATGGGGCTATATATAAAAGTGATCCGATATTGATAATTTTTGGCATAGAGATTTGCAATCGTCTGATAACCCAAAATATGGAACTGCAACCGATTCTGTTCGAATACTTGTCCAAAATCTTCAAAAAACCGAAAATCCGAAGGTTCTCTTATACAGGACTATACATATATGGGGGGGGGGGGTCTATACATATATATTGATAATTTTTCGTATGGAGATTTAATACCTAATAGGAACCCTAAATATGAAATTACAACCAATTCCGTTCGTAAACTGTTGCAAAATTGTCAAAATACCGAAAATCGGAAGGTTGCCTTTTACGGAACCTATACATTAATGCGGTTCGATATTGATAATTTTTGGTAAGGGGATATCATACCTAATAAGAACCCTAAATATGAAATTACAACCAATTCCTTGTGGAAACTTGTCCAAATTCGTCAAAATACCGAAAATCGGAAGGTTGCCCTATACGGGGGCTATACATGAAATTGGTCTGATATTGATAATTTTTGGCAAAGGGGTTTCATACCTAATAAGAACCCTAAATATTAAATTACAACCAATTCCTTTTGAAAACTTGTACAAAATCATCAAAATACTGAAAATCGGAAGGTTGCCCTATACGGGGGCTATACATAACATTGGTCTGATATTCATAATTTTTACTAAGGTTATTTCATACCTAAAAAACCCTAAATATGAAATTACAACCAATTTCTTTTGAAAACTGGTGCAAAATCGTCAAAATACCGAAAATCGGAACGTTGCCCTATAAAGGGGGCTATATATAAAAGTGGTACGATTTCGATAATTTTTGGCAAAAGGATTTGATACCTAATAAGAACCCTATATATGAAATTGTAATCAATTCGTTTGGAAATTGTGGCCAAAATTCTTGAAATACCGAAATTCGGAATGATGCCTTATACCTAATAGGAACCCTAAATATGAAATTACAATCAATTCTCAAAATACTGAAAATCGGAAGGTGTTGTTATATGAAGGGTATACCCTAAAAGTGGAACCATATCCTCAATTTTTGGTACGGAGATTTTCTATCCGATTAGAAGCCAAAATATTAAATTACAAACAAAACTGTGTCCAATATCAGCAAAATAATTAAAATCGGAGGGTAGCCGCATATGCGGACTACACCTAAGTGGTCCGATACTGATAATTTTTGGTATGGAGATTTAATACCTAAAGAGAACCCAAAATATTAAATTACAATCAATTCGGTTCAAAAAATGTGTTCAAAATCTTTAAAATAATGAAAATCGGAGGTTATCCGTCTGTGGCGGTTATACATAAAAGTGGACCAAAACTTATCATTTTTGGTAAGGAGATTTTCAATGCAATGAGTACTCAAAATATGAAACTAAAGCCTTATTCGATTGGAAAACATATTGAAAATAAAAAATACGGAATATTCGGGTCTAACCTTCCATGGAGGCTTCAGATAAAAGTGGACCAATATTATTAATTTTTCGTAGGGAGAATTTCTATTCAATGATAATCCAAAATATCAAATTACAACCGATTGGGTTAGGAAAATGTAAGCAAAATCCTTGAAATAATGAAAATCGAAAGGTACCCTATTGAGGGGGTTTAATCAAAAAAGTGGACCAACACTTTTAATTTTTTGTAAGGAGGTTTTCTACCGATTGAGAATCCAATATATTTAATTACAACATATTTGGTTGAGAAAATATGTTCATAAAAACCTCAAAATAATGAAAATTGGGGGGTACCTGTCTTTGGGAGGCTATACCAAAGGATTGACCAATATCGATAATTTTCGGAAGATTTTCTATCCAATGAGAACACAAATATGAAATTTATATGAAATTGCTATGATCCTAAACGTGAACTAATATAGTTCATATTCGAAATTAACAGATGGACGGTTAAGTTTTAAAATGCTACCCTGATCAAGAATCAATATATAATTGATAGGGTCTTGAGTGATTTTTTTCAGGAATAAAAATATAATATATGCCCTCCATGCTATGAAGGTGAAGGCCATAAGAATAAGACAAATATACAATCTACATATCCTAGGCAATAACTTAATATGGCTAGGATTACTGTTCGATTTCTCCCTAACCTCACATTCATTACAAAAATAAAAAAAAAATAAATTCCGAAATAATTACAATCTCCCATCTTCGATAATCTATTTATACATGGCACTACTCTGCTGTACACTAACAGCATGTTTCTGTGAGATATGCTTACGTAAATCCGATTTATATTTACATTTGTGCGGACAATAGGGACACGATAGCTGTGGCGCCACACCGCATTCATAGCTTTTGTGACGTTTTAGGGAGCCCTTAATTTTATACGATTTACCACAAACATTGCAGACATATTGCAGGCCAGCCGCAGCTATATCGGAAGGTTTGAGGCCAATGGTTTTGATACGTTTGGGTGGTGCCAAAAATTTATCACTTTCATTTTCCGACGTTTCGTGGCCTGATGTGGTGGTGGTGGTGGATGGAGGATTTTGATGTTGCGGATTAAAGGGTTTCATTTCGGTTAATTCTGCTTCTAACATATCATCGGTATCGGATGTTGTTGTTGTGGTGGTTACCGATTCGGCTATATTCTGTAATTGGTGTTGAGAAGTTTGATGGTGATGATGCTGCTGCTGCGGATGATCTTTGATAACCTCCAAATGTGTGGCCCCTGTGGCCTCATTAACTATGATGGTTGCCGTGGGTGTTCCATGATTATTGGTACTGACAATTTGGTGTTGTTGTTGATGTTGCTGCTGTTGTTGTTGTTCATATTGCACCACATTCCTTAGCAGAACTTTATCCTCAAATCGTGAGGTATCGATTTTTATAAATTCTGTGGTAGTTTGCGGTAATTGTGTGCCGGGATTGTTGCCTGCTTGACCATGATTATTACTTGTTGTAACATGTAAATGTTGTGTGGCATGTTGTTGTTGCTGCTGCTGTTGTTGTTGTTGCAATGCAGCAGTTGTGGCCGTGGCCTCTAGACATTCCTGTAAAGTTATGTGCTGAACCTGATGGTGATGATGCGAAGGCTGTTGTTGCGCATGGCTGGTGGTTTCATGTTGTATAATGGCCCTAGGAGGCACTCCAGTTCCGGAATGTGGTTGCTTAACAATTTGTATTGTGGCCGCTGGAGGATTTGCCAATTTATTATAGGCCGCCGTAAGAGCTGTGGATGTCTGAACACTTCGCAAAATTTCTTGATGTTGGGTAGTGGTACCCTTGGGCAGGGTATAGTGTATGGTGCTGGCCGGCATACCCTCCGTTTCGGAGGGTATTTCCACAACCACAGTGGCCGAAGCTATTATATCGGCGGGATCTGTGGTGGCGGCGGCGGCTGTGTGGCTGACATGTTGAGGTGCCGCCGAGACCACAGCATGATGGGCCAAGGTTTGATGTTGTTGTTGCTGCTGTGTTATCTGTGTTGTATGCTGGGAATGTGATGTATGGTGGGCCTGCAATATGGCTGTATTTTGTGGGTGGTGATGATGATGTTGCTGTTGGTGTTGTTGTTGCTGCTGTTGATGAACCCCACCATGTTGATGGCTGCTAATGACATTTGTACAGGTTGTAGTGCCGGTATTCGTTTGACTGCTGGCCAAGGAATAGGGCACGGTCTCAACAATGGTCCAATAACTTTCCGTCGATGAAGAGGCTGAAAGAAAAAAGAAAACGAGAAATTAGTTTTTGTAAAAATTTAAAAAAAAATATTTTTTTTTCGAAAACATCATTTTTTTTTTGTATTCGAGCTTACTTTGTGTTTTAGTCAATTATTGGGTGTTGTTGTTTTAATTGTTGTTGCTTTTTTGTTGCAGTCAGTAGTGGTGTTGTACAAAATTCTACTTTGAAAAATGTGGATCCCCATTAAAATAAAAATGAATTAAAAAAAAAAATAATAATAAATAAATAAAATAAAAAAATTGTTATATTTAATAAGCCCGCCACTATTTGTAAATTATTTTAAAAAGTTTTGAAAAATTCCTTTAATTTCAATTTTTTTTTTTTGATTTCTTCATTCTTGCTTTATTAAAAAACTCTATTAAATATACACATACATTTACAAAAGTAGGGAAATGGGAGATATACTTGTAGAAAATATTAGAAAATGTATTTAGAATAGATTTTTTATTATTATATTTAATTAAGCTAAGTTTTTTTTTTTTGTATTATTTTAAATAATTTTTAATAATAGTATAAGAGAAGGGAAGTCATAAACCAGAGGAAATATTTTTTAATAATAATTAGAAAAAAAGGCAAGTTATGCTGAATTCAATTGTATATTAAAATAGAAGTATGTACAAAATGTGTAATATTTAAAAAAAAAATAGGGAATTAAAAAAAACTCCACTAGAGATTGATTTTTTGGAAGAATATCCAATAGATTGGAATCTAAAAAAAATTGTATCAAATTCGGTTGTGGAAAATTCTCAAAATACCAAAAATTGCAAAGTACTTCTAAATTCCCAAAAATTGGAGAGAACACTTCAAATGCAAAAACAATTATTTTAATTACAATCGATTCGGTTAGACATATTTTCACAATACTAAAAATTGAAGGTGGTCGTCTATGTCTTAATTTGGAACGAGGTAGAAAAAATTTTGGTAGATATAGAACCAAGGTATATTACCAAGCCATATTATCTACCATGTTTAGAACTTTTTTTTAGGGAAATTTCCTATCCAATGAGAACACAGGCAATTTGTTTAGAAAAATATTTTCAAAATCCTAAAAAAATAGTCTATCAAAAATTGTCTATACATAAAAGTACAACGATGTGCACAATTTTTAGAGTTGGTAGATGTGTAACGAACTCAGAATTCCAATTTACCAAAATTACAATCCCTTTGGTTGGCAGGAAGACCTCTAGAAAAAAAGCGTGGAAAGATTTTTTAAAGAACATTTTTTTATTAAAAAAAAAAAAAATAAAAAAATTCTTTAGTAATAAACAAAAATTATAGGAAAGGTGAGGAGAAATCATTTGAGGTCAATGGTAAAGGACCTGCTTTTTATTTAAAAAAATTAAAAAATCTTCAGTAATAAAAAAACATTACAGAAAAGGTGAGGAAAAATCATTTGATAACTATGAGAATAGGGAAAGGACCTGCTTTTTATCAATTTTTTTTTCAGTAATAAAAAAAATTATAGAAGGTCCTTTACCCTTGATTTTAAGGACTATTAGTGAAAAAGTTGTGAAATAATTTTCAAGGATTTTGTTTCTGGAATAAAAAAAATGGGAGAACTACAGGGATATGAAAATGGATTTTTAAAAGACTGTTTTAAGGTCCTTTACCCTTTGATTTTAAGGACTTTTAGTGAAAATTTCTGGACTAATTTTCAAGGATTTTGTTCCTGGATATGAAAATGGATTTTTAAAAGATTGATATTTTTTAAGATCCTTTGCCCTTGATTTTAAGGACTATTAGTGAAAAACTTTGTAGAATAATTTTCAAGGATTTTGTTCCTGGATTAAAAAAAAAATGCGAGTACTACAGGGATATGAAAAATGAATTTTTAAAAGATTGTTTCTTTTTAAGGTCCTATATCTTTGATTTTAAGGACTTTTATTGAAAATTTTGTGGAAATATTTTCAAGGATTATGTTCCTGAATTAAAAACAATGCGAGAACTGTGGGGATATGAAAATTGATTTTTAAAAGATTGTTTCTTTTTAAGGTCCTTTACTCTTTATTTCAAGGACTATTACTAAACACTTTTTGGAATAATTTTCAAGGATTTTGTACCTGGATTAAAAAAAAATTGCGAGAAGTACAGGGATATGAAAATGGATTTTTAATAGATTGATATTTTTTAAGGTCCTTTACCCTTGATTTTAAGGACTATCAGTGAAAAGCTTTGTGGACTAATTTTCAAGGATTTGGTTCCTGGATTAAAAAAAGAAACGAAAACTACAGGGATATGAAAATGGATTTTTGGAAAAATTGTTTTTTTTTTAGATTTTAATTTTTATTTCTGAGTGCTTTTAAAAAAAGTTAATAGTCTTTTAGAGATTTTTTTAAATCATTTTTTCATTGTGATTTTCTTTGGGATAATTTTCAAGGATTTTGTTCCTGGAAATACGAGAATTGCAGGTATATGAAAATGGATTTTTTAAGGACCTTTAACCATTGATTTTGAGGACTATTAGTAAACATTTTGTGGAATAATTTTCAAGGATTTTGTTCTTGGATTAAAAAATGGATTTTTAATAGATTGATATTTTTTTAAGGTCCTTTACCCTTGATTTTAAGGACTATCAGTGAAAAGCTTTGTGGACTAATTTTCAAGGATTTGGTTCCTGGATTAAAAAAAGAAACGAAAACTACAGGGATATGAAAATGGATTTTTTGAAAAATTGTTTTTTTTTTAATTTTTAATTTTTATTTCTGAGTGCTTTTAAAAAAAAGTTAATAGTCTATTAGAGATTTTTTTAAATCATTTTTTCATTGTGATTTTCAAGGATTTTGTTTTTGGATTAAAAAATTGCGATAACTACAGGGTTATGAAAATGGAATTTTGAAATAGTGTGTTTTTTTAGATTTTAATTGTTATTTCTGAGTGTTTTGAAAAAAAGTTAATGAACTTTGAGAATTTTTTTTTTAAACATATTTTCATTGTGGTTATTTTTATAATATTTGAAATGAATGAAATTTTATAAATTTCGGTAAGGAGTTACAGTCAATTCGTTTAAAAAATTTTGGAAATTTTGTGATTTTTTATAATATTTTAAGTAAATGGGTTTTAATTTTTTTTTATTGTTTAAGAGTCTCAACATTTTTTTAAGGTTTTCTAATTTATGAAATTGGGTTTTTTGTACACATTTTTTTTTTAAATATTACACATTTTTAAATACTTTTTACTTCTTTTTTTTTGTAATTCAAATAATTTAACTTTATAAGTTTTTAAGGGATTATCTTTTAATTGAAAACAAAATTTTCTAAATTGGCATAGAAATGGCATTAAAAAATATTTAAAATTTATATTTAAAATATATATAAAAAATTAATATTACAAATATGAAAAAAAACATATGATATAACATTAATATATTTGAGCTATGGTTTTGTTGTTTTTTAAAGGGGTAAATTATATTTCTTTGTAACATTCGTCTTTTTTTTTAATTTAAATGTTAAACATTAAAAAATAACATAATATTATGTTTTCACTTTCCATTTAAACAAATAGTTTTTTTCTTAATGAAATTATTCAATATTTTTGCATATATATTAAAAAATATATATAAAGTTTATATATTTTTGTGTATTATTATTAAAAATATTTTATAAATATATATTGAGGTATATTGTAAAATGTTTTCATATATTTGTATATGGTATAGGTTTCATTATCATTAATAAAAAAAATATTGTATTTTAATTATTATCATTTCTTAAAATTTATTATTTTTTTGCATTTAAATTTATAACCCAGCCATTAAATATATAACAACTATTAGAACAAGGAATATATTATAATGTGAAACACAATAATAATAAAAAAATAATTGAAACCGAAAATAAATAAAAAAAGCTTTTTTTGTTGTCATTTACTAAAAAAAACATTAGTTTATAATTTTTTGTGGAACACAATAATAAAGAAAAATGAACTAAAAAAAAAATGATAAATTAAATTATAAAAAAGCTATTTATGTCCTTTGTTTAAAAAATAGTATATCTTTTTATATTATTATTTGTGGAACACAACAATAAAAAAAGTAATAAAAAATTAAATTAAAAAAAAAAGATTTATATATATTTTGTGGAACACGGCAATTACAAAATATATATATATAAAAAATAAATTATTTATATATAAAAAAGCTTTTGTTATCCTTTGCTAATGATATTATTTTTGTTTTTTTTTTTTAGATTTTTTTTCACATTTTTTAAATGGCAAGATATTTTACTTTTTAATTACTTTAAATAATTGTTTTTCAGTAAAAAAAAAATAATAAATTAACTAATATAGGGTTATTTGTGGAATGTATTTCATTTTTGTTGTTGGGATTTGAAAAAAGATCTTATTGTTTTTTTTTAATAAAAAAAAAACTAAATATTAGGTATATTTGGAAAAAGGTGGTGGCTAGGAACACATAGAAATATTGGATTGTATGTGGGGCAAGTTGAGGCCACTCCTCATTATGAAATATCAAAATATCCGTACAATTTGTAATATTTCCTTTTTTGGAGATTTTCGAGAAATAAAGAAACCGAAATAGAAATTAAAAAAAAAAAATAGAAAAATCTTATTTTTTGAGATAAAAGCTTCGTTTCATTTTTAATAGTGGGCTTACAGGAAATAACTGGCAATAATTATCCCAATATAATGGAAAGATTTTATAAAGGCTTAGAAGAAAATGTCAATCGTAAAAATTGTGACTATCTACGAATTTTATAGTTCCATTTCAAATAGCATTCAAAGAAGGTAATTAGAGAATTTGTTTGGAAATAGGTCATGAAGTTTACAAATTGAGCTGTAAATATATTTAAATTTTTGGTTAACATTTGATGTGGTAGCTTAAAAATGTTCGGAAAATGCCAAATATTGAGTGGATCTAATGGATATTGACAACTTTCGGCGGGTCCGTCAAGGGATATTAAAATTGGGCTGTAAAATTTTTGTCTATATTTGGTATGGTACCTTAAAAATGTTCGGAAAAATGCCAAATATTGAGTTGATCTAAAGGTGGTGGACAGATATAGACAATTTTCGGCAGGTCGATTTGTTACTCAATGATAACTGATAGTTTAGCAAACTTGAATTAATCTGGTGAGGAATCGTAATATGGAACAATATTGACAAAATTTGTCTAAGGAGATTCACCACCCAATCAGAATTCAAATTATTAAATAATAGATTATTAAATAATAAAATCGGGAGGCAACATTATATGAGGGCTATAGATAAAAGTGAACCAATATTGATCATTTTTGTTAGCAACATTTATCATATTATGATAACCCAAGAAATATCAAATTTCGGCCGATTTGTTTGGATTTTTTTTTTTTTCAAAAATCCTTAAAATATCGAAAATATGGTGGTATGGTTATATGGGGACTATATATAAAAATGCACCAATTTTTATAAATTTTGGCAAGGAGGTTTGTCACATTATGAGAACCTAAAATATCAAATTACAGCCAATGCGTTTGGAAAATAAGCCGGAAAACCTCAAAATAGCAAAAATCGGAAGGTATTGTTATATGGGGGCTATACCTCAAGGTGATCCAATATTGATAATTTATGGTGGCAAGATTTATCAAACCAAACCAAAATATCAAATTACAGTCAATTCGTTTGGAATTTTTTTTTTCAAAAAAATCCTTAAAATATCGAAAAAATTGAGGTATGGTTATATGGGGACTATATTTAAAGATGCACAAATTTTTTATAATTTTCGGTAAGGAGGTTTGCCATGTTATGAGAACCCAAATTATCAAGTTACAGCCAATTCGTTTGGAAAATAAGCCCGAAAACCTCAAAATACAAAAAATCGGAAGGTATCGTTATATGGGGACTATATTTAAAGATGCACCAATTTTTTATAATTTTCGGTAAGGAGGTTTGCCATGTTATTAGAAATTATAACCAATTCGATTGGAAAACTTGTTCAAAATTCCGAAAATCGGTAGTAATCTTTATATGGGGTCTGTACCTATAGGAGGACCAATATTGAATAATTTTGGTAGGAAATATTGCTACACAATGAGAACAAAAAATGACTAAATGGCAGTCAACTGCTTTAAAAAACTTATTGAAAATCTGAGGTTCCGCTTAGGTTCCGATTTTGTCATGACTAAACGTAAAACAATATGGCTCATCTTTGACCATATGACCTGGATTTAAAGTGATTATTACGAGAGGACTCAAAAATGGAAAGACAAAAAATTAAAATACCCTCTTCCATACCATGTTGGAGGTTAGAGATGTTGGAAAGTCTAGGGAAACGAGGATTAGGTAGCTTTCTCTCACAATATTGTTGCAAAATTTGGATCTACTATTATTTAAAAGAAAACAAGCCTGAAATCTTCAAAATACCAAAAATCGGAAGGTATAGTTTTATGTGGAACTACACCTCATTGTGGACAGGAAATTATAAAATCGGCTTTGCCATGTACCACACCATTGTATGTGGAAAAATTATTGCAAAAAATTTTACATTTTCGGAATTTCATATAACAAAACATAACCTTAAAGTTCTATAAAAAAATTAATAGCTAACAGACACCTATTGGCGGAGAATAGGAAATAAATTAAAATTGTTGTGTTACGATATGCAAGATAAAGGCAAAGATCAGTTGTACATAGTTTTAAAACAAAAATAAATATACCAAAAATTGGGTTCATGATTATTTTTAATTATCTCTCTCACTCAGATTGATTTTGATTTTAGGGAGATGGTGGATTAATTCCTACACTCCCCTTTTGTTGTGGATGTTTTCTTGCTTTTTTTCTTAATCATCTTCATCGTAATCATCATCATCGTCTTCACTCTCCTGCATAATGGGCACCGCGGTAATGGTTAGATCACGACAACCGAATTTAAAACCCATTGCCTCCATGTTATTTCCCCCGCCACCATTGCCACTGACCACACTGCCACTACCAATGCCCATTGTCACCGACGGCACCAAATAATCTTCCATGGCATCATAGTCAACATCGGTATCATAACGGGCACCCATTGCCCCGTCCTCACCATCATCCTCGGTGCGTATGACAAACAAAGCATCCTCATCATCCCGGTACTGTTCGTACAGTTCACAGTGTTTACGTTTGGCATGACGCAGCACATGATCCTTGCGTCGTGAACGATATTCACACGATACACATTTGTATTTTTTCTCTTTGAGGCAGTATTTGCGAACATGTTCCTGCAGCTTTTGCATGGACTTGTAGAAACGTTTGCAGTGTTTGCATTGCATATAGTCATCGCGTTCCAAGAGATTACTGGCGGCGGCGGTGGCACCACCACTTAAGGCATTTATTAAAATCGAACCACTTGCGGGATTTGAATTTAATGTGGCGGCAGTGGCATCACCTGTGGAATTGTTGCCACCCACCGCCGAACGTCCGGTGGCATGTATGGTTATGTTATTATTTAAATAGCCATAGCTATGAAAGAGATCATTATTGGAATTATTTGGTGATTGTTCGTTACTGTTGTCGCCGTTGTTGTTGTTGTTATTGTGACTGGTGTTTGACGTATCGACACCGAGGAGGCTACCCAATATGGGATAGATGTCTAATTTGTGGTTGTTTTTTTATTCGATTTTGTGTGGCCAGATTGGGTGTTTATTTTTTAGGTTAACACATTATGGACGAAAAATAGAAAGAAAAGAAAAAAATTAAAATAAATTAACAAAATTAAAATAAAAATTACTACCAAAATAGTATAAAAATAAAAAATACAACAATTTATATTTAAAATTAAATGTGAAAGTAAACAGAGAAAATACTCAAGACATTTTTGATGGGAATATTCGGTCTGAAATTCGCAAATCTGTCTGAAATTCGCAAAATATAAACAATTTGAGGTTATGTTATATTGGGGGCTACCCTAAAAACTGGACCAATACTAAAAATTTTTGGTAAAACGTGAAAATATAAACAAATTGAGGTTATGTTATATGGGGGCTACCCAAAAAACTGGACCAATACTAATAATTTTTGGTAGAAAGATGTAACACCCAACGAGAATTCAAAATGCCAAATTACATCCAATTCGGTTGAAAATAGTGGATAAAAATTCACAAAATATAAAAAAAAATTGAGGTTATGTTATATGGTAAAATGGGGGCTATCTTGAAACTTGGACCATTATTAATAATTTTTGGTAGGAAGATTTGTCACCCAACGAGAACACAAAATACCAAATTACATCCAAATCGGTTTAAAAAGGTGTCACAAATCCGCAAAATTTAAATAATTTGAGGTTATGTTATATGGGGGATACCCTAAAAACTGGACCAATACGTATAATTTTTGGTAGAAAGATTTAACATCCAACGAGAATCCAAAATACCAAATTACTACATTCAATTCGTTTGAAAAACGTGGCCAAAAATTCGCAAAAATATGAAAATTTTGAGGTTATGTTATATGGGGGCTACCGTAAAAATTGGACTAATAAGTATAATTTTTGCTGGGAAGATTTCTCACCCAACGAGACTCCAAAATACCAAATTGTATCTAATTCGGTTGAAAAACGAGGCCAAAATTCCTAAAATCCGAAATTTAGAAGGTACCGCAAGATTGGAACTACGCAAAAAAATAGACCAATGTAGATTATTTTTAGTGCTAAAAAGTCTATACCTAAACGAATACCAATATTGCGACCCAATGGGAAATTTGCGACACAATGACAACCTAAAGATAAAAGATTAAAATATAGGAAACAAATCTTCAAAATACCAAAAATCTGAGATATGGCTGTGTTCGGGGGGCTAGGTCCAAAAGTTAATCGATATTGATTATTTTTGATAGGAAATTTTTTTAATGCCCTATGATATCGAACATATTTAAATGCTTACATAATATGGAAGATTGAAGATGGTACCGTTATATGGGAGGCTATATCCAAAGTTGGATAAATATTATTAATTTTTGGAAAGGATATTTGATAGCCAATTAAAATAAAAATTGTGAAATCGCAATTTGGTTGGAAAATGTATTCAAAATCCTTAATAAAATACTAAAAATCGAAAGATATCTGGCACCTTCAGTCTTAGAAAATAAATAGGGCTTAAGACGTTTCCGGTGGAATATGAGAACTATAGCTTCGAGGTAGTCCACGATTTTATATACCTCGGTACAGCCATAAACAAAACGAATTACATCATTTTTGAAATACGAAGAAGGCTAGTGATGGTCAACAGATGCTACTATGGTCAGAGCAAACAACTCAAAAGTAAGGCCACCTCCCGCCAGACCAAACTCACACTCTACAAGACGCTGATACTGCCCGTGCTGTTATATGGATCTGAAGCACGGGTACTTGTGCCATCAGATGAGCCTGCTCTTGGAGTGTTTGAGAGAAGTGTTCTCCGAAAGATCTATGGGTCGATTTGCGTTGACGGTGAATATCGCCGTCGAATGTACCAGCTATTCTCGGACATGGAAATTTTTAGACGGATTGAGCTGCAGCGACTACGTTGGCTAGATCATGTTGTGAGAATGGATGAAAATGCTCCAACCAAGAAGGCACATAAAAGCGAACTAGCTGATGGTTCAGACAGAAAGGTGAAGGCCACGAATAAGATGGAAAGACCTAGTGGAAGACAACATTGTCGAATATGGTCTTTTGAATTGGAAAAACTGCGCAAAAGACCAACGCACCTGGAAATCTTTTCTAAGCTCGGCTTATGGAACGAAAGTTCTGTCACAAGCCAACTACGAAGAAGAAGACGTTTCCTTATCACCTAAGGCAGAGAGAAATGGTTTTTTGTTATTTTTTTAAGGACATTAAACCTAAAGGTGAGTTTTTCGTATTGCGCATTCTGGAAAATTGACAGACAGAACGACTTAGCACTAAATTTAAATATAAAATCGAGAACGAAATTATTTCTGATACAGTAAAGAAAAAAAAAATATTCGACATTTAGTGATTTGGAATATTAAAAAGGGGTTGCTGCCTAGCTGAGTTAAATATATCGAATACCCGATATCATTGAAAAAATATGAAGTTTACTTCCACATTTAGTTAGATACAAATTAAATAATTAAAATAAGTATTAAATATATAATAAAATAAATATTAAATATAAAAATACTAACATAAAAAATATACAAACATATTTTACATAAAAAATAATTTTAAAAATAAATAAATTAAATTACCCACTTTAATTTTTTGATTGTAGACAAACAGACATACAATGGTGGATTGATGAGGATGAATGGCCCTTGAGTCATGGATTATGATGGTTGTGTGGTTGTGATATGGTGCGAATGATGATGATCATGACATAAATTCAAATATATGCTGGTGAATATCGTTTGATGATGAATATTATATTATAAATATATATGTACAAATAAAAATGACAAGATGACAGCTGACATGGAAAAAATACCAATGGACCATAGAACAATTTCATTTAAAATCCCTAAATTTTTTTATATAATAATTGTGCAAAATGAAAATATAATTATATACCCATCATGAATTGGGGGTATTAAAATGAAAAAAAAAAAATGATTGTATATACTAATACCATAAATTATATACAATAACAAATTAAATTATATACAACTAATTTCTTAATAAAAAATTGTTTTCCCTTTTCACTCCAAATATAAATTTAATATACAAAAAGTAAAATAATATTCATTAGCATTCAATAAACATTTTTAATAGAAAAAAAGGGAATTTTTGTTTTTGTTATAGATTATTAAACTGTTATATATGTATATATATATATATATATTTTTATAAAATGTTCTTAATATAAACTTTAACAATAGCTTAAACTATATACATATACACATTTTTGATATATAATTTGTTTTGTTAATATTATTATATTAATAAAAACAAATTACTTAGACAAGTTTTAATAAAATATAAATAAACAATAGAAAGATGGAGGGTTATTATCTAATAGTTTTTTTTTTTTTTAATTTGATTTGTTCTAACTATATTGAAAAATATATTTTTAAGAATTTCTAAGTAATATTTTTGTATAAATGAAATTAGTTGTGAGTTCCATATCTTCAGATTGGCCACAAGCTTTCCAGTTGTATTTGAAAATGATCCACATCTCATCTCATAATCCAATAGGCCGGCCGTCTTTTCGGTCACCTAAAAAGAAATGCATATTAGTTAAAGGTTTTCAAAAAAGAAAAAAAAAATCAAATTACATCAAAGGGATAGAAATGGAAAAAAGGAAATTAAATATATCACGAATTCCATGTCACGCACTGTTACAGCGTGCGAAATATAATCGTTTGTTTAGTTAAGAAAAATTTGTTTCCGAAATTTCTTTCGCAATTTTTATTTAATAGTTTTACGCCTTTTACAATACCTGCTAATTTTTTTATGAATATTTTTGTAAATGTCGGAGATATTAAGAAAAAATTAGCGTACGCACGCGCTACAAAATTTTCCCTTTAAAAATTGGATATCAGTTTCGATATGAAATTTCTGCGAATTGGCTGGAGATAAAATTGCGGATTTTTTTTACAGCTATAATGGGTTACTCAAGATTATATTGACATTCAATTTTTTTGAGAAAAAAATTTCTAAGATATACTTTTTTAACTTTGAACACCGTCACGCACATGTTACACTCGTAACGCACTGTTACACACACATGTACTAAAAAAATTAAATTCAAAACAGAATGTTTTAAAAATGCTAGTTCTTATACCCCACACAACCATGTTGTCAGGATATTATAGCTTTGTGTGGCCCCAAGAACTTTGGTAAATCATTATGCAGTTATGGACGACATTTTTGCCTGTAAATTCGGTTCTAAAGCAACTTATTGAGGAAGAATGTAACATGTGCGTGACGGATACAAATTTGTTCGATGGAGATAGAAGACAAACTTTGTTTAATTTGAATTTGTCATCTCAAGATCCACACATAACAGCATTATCAAAAAAAAAATTCTCATATTAGAGTCTGTATAGAAACATATGCTAATTTTGTCACGCACGCGTTACATATTTTCTTACACTATTTAACTGCACTTACCACGGGATTCTCTTGGTATATGTATAGGTTTATATATATGTAATTCTTAGTAAGATATTACTCTATTTGAATTTAATATTTATTATTGATATTGTTTTAGCTAACAGCGTTCACACTTACGACAAATGACACTCTAAAACTAATAAAAATATGCCCAAGTTACTCTCCACGCGAAAATGGTACAACGAAAAGAAAAACTACGGTTATTTTTCAAAATTCAACTAAAAATATATTGTCCGGATTGCAAAGAATATTTCCTATATAATTTCATATCTCTCTTAACGAATTGATTTTTCACCTGTGTGGTTGACCTTTTTGTGGAATTCGTGATATATTTTTTAAAATAATCAAGGGACATTAACGACAAAAGGGGTTATCACATTAAAAAAAATCGAAATCTTTAATTAATCTTCTCGAGTCATAGACTATTTATGTGACATAAAAATTGTATCTTAAAATATATTTAAATTTGCTATTGCTATTAAAAAACCAGTAAGGGACGACTATAAGATACCCTTCACCACATATGTACCTTAACAATTTCA